ACATGAAATGGAAGGAAATTTATGGGTACCATAGTTCAGTGTCTTTTGGCTGGATTGTTGTTTATTCCTCAACGTCCAAATTACTTGCAAATTGTTAAAAATATAATTTACTTTGATTGGCCTATCCCTGTCAGTTGTCACCCAAACTTCTGCTCTAAAGGATGCACTGTTTTCCCATTTTCTGCTGCAGCCCTTACATGTTGGTTTCACTGGAGACCTAGGCGGCAACACAATAATAGTTCGTTGGTACCGCAGGAAAACAAATCTTCATCATGTAAGTGTTAGTTTGTTATCTTGCTATGTCAGTGCTTTGGGATTTTATTTACCTATTTAATGAATGTGAGCAAAATGAGTTGGAAAAAAGTTGTGAATCCAAGTTTTGTAGCTCAAGTATCTGTAGTGAATGATTCATCTGCTTTTGAACTAGCATGTCAATTACTTTTCCATCAAGCTCTCTTCTGATTCTTCACCTTGTTGATCTGTTGGTCATTAGGCTTGAGTGGTCCGCTTTATTGTTAGTCATTAATGCTGCAAATTCAGTAAATTTGATTTTGGTCCAGGTATGGGATACCATGATTATTGATTCTGCTTTGAAAAAATTCTATAACTCAGATCTTTCAACTATGATACAAGCCATCCAGACGAACATTACAGTAAGTTTTATGCTCTATATTGTGTGCATTTATTACAACAGCTCAAGAATGTGATAACTTTCTACCTAAAGACTGCATGGTATTGGGGATCCTTTTCACTCTGCTAATTTTATTAATCCATTATTCCTAAATGACTCATGGTGTCAGATTTTTCAGATGTAGAGCATCTCTGCTTTAGTTCTTTAAGTCCGCAAGTGCTTATATGCAGTATATGGATTGCTTTCTTTTTAACACCCCCCCGGGGCCGTGTTTCTGAGTGTGACTTTACTAATACTTAGAAATTTATCCTAAAACAATAGGGCTGTTCCTGATCTTTTTGCCATTGTAATCTCAAAATCTTTCAATTTCTATATCCCTCAGCTAAAAATAGAAAAGGGAGCCCAAGTTGCACTATGTTATTTTGCAGAATGCAGCCTATGCAACATTTCATTTTGAACTTCCTTTTTATTTGCAGAAATTTGTGCCAACTATATATTAGAATTAGCAGTATATACACTATTGGTGGAGGACGTGGGGAAGGGAGGGAGAAGGTAGAAAGATTTTTTTTTCTTTTTTTTTGGGCTGATGTTGGTGAAATATTCTCAATATTATTCAGTTCATCAAATGATCTACCATGCAAATAACCCTAATGCTCTTTATAGAAACATAAGTATTAAAATAATAACAACTTAAACCTAAATAGAACAAGGTAAAACCTAACTTCAATTTTACGTCAAAGAAAACATAAAAAGGAACAGTCTAACAGAACCTGATAGGAAGCAAAATAAAGCCATAATAAAAAAATTACTAAAAATACTAAATAAATCCCTCCACATGTCCTAAAATACTAAATATCCTAAACAATCTAAGTGAATTTCATGTTTTATTACCATGATTATATTTTGCCTCGACTTGTAAGTGCTCTTAAACAGCTAGAGACTGACTATTATTCTTACTCGCTTTCTGAAGGATGCTTGGTTCAGTGATATGTCAACTTGGGGACACTGTGCACATAACTACACTGCTTGTCCTGATCGGTATATACACTATAATTTCCATTCAACTTTTCTTGTCTCTTTTTCCCTATGAATGCTTTTGCGTTACACTTTCACAATGGTAATATGTTTGTTATGTTTTGTATTGCCACCCTGCTATATATATTTTCATATGCACTTTATTATGTGAATTTGTATTGATAGATATTATGTACTGATGGAAGGTAGCCTTGGATGCATTATTTTTGCTCATTCAGCAGCATTGATACATATAGAGTCCCTAGGTTTGATCACAACCTGATCACTCCCTATAAAAGGCCTAAAAACAAGGGATCCTAATAATTGAAAATAAACAGAATATTTCCTTAGAAATAAAATATAAGGAAGTTAATAAATATCTATAAACATCATAAAGAAAAAGAACTTTAAGTAAAGCCCGAAAAGAAAAGCCCATTCCCAACATGTACTCATTCAATGGATTTTGTTGCCTCAACTATCTGCTGCATTTTTCTTTACTTGAGCAGTTGAAACTTGAAACCTATAGTCTACTCATGAGCTGGGAGATTGACAAGATTATGGGAGTTATATATTTCTATATATCATTCTAATTTTAATTGATGACCCTGAAGTGATGGAAAGAAGATGTTTGTTTCTGTATAGATTCGCAAGCATATGAGGTATTTTTTACATCCTGTGACTTGGTTAATAAACTATCAATCAGGTATGCTTCTGAGAGTGTTAGTTTAGCATGCAAGTTTGCTTACAGGAATGCCACGCCGGGAAGCACTTTGGAAGGTATTTCCGTTTTCTTACCTATCTATTCTACATCACAAACAATGGCAGATTCCTTAGCCGGAAAGCTTTTCCCCTTGTGGGATATGCTTGTTTTCTTATCTTCTTTGTGAGTTTAATCTCGTGCATGTTAAGTGAGTTTTCTTGAAATGTACACGCATTAATAGGTGTGTTCCCTGGCAAAATATAGCAGTATGCTTAATGTATATTATTAATAATTGATTTGGCTTATGAGTAAGAACCTCGGATGGACCTGCACCTCAAAAGGTGAAGCCTCAAGTCCATATAAACCTCATGCTGAAATTTCGAAACTTTATGAATGGGAATCCAAGTCCCATGCCTTGCAGTCGTGTTTGTACATTCTGCTGTTTCCTTTTAATCTGTTTTGGGTAAAACGAGTCTACTTGAGAAATCTTCTCATATCTTGATAAACTCTGATATGTCATTGTATCTGATTGCGTAGATGAGTACTTCCTTTCTCGGCTTCCTATAGTGGAGAAAAGACTGGCTCAGAGTGGAGTGCGGTTGGCTGCAACCCTAAACCGTATATTTGCTCCTCAGACCAGAATTGCTCAAGCTTAAAGATAAATATGGATATTGGCATTTATTTGTGTATTAGGCAAATTAGAGACCGAGAACAAGCTTTTTTCTATCAAGTGAAATCGGTTACATGAATTATGTAATACCAGTGTCTTCCATCAACAAAACTAAAAATGTTTGTATATATTATTCACTATTGAATTATGTAAATCAGATACCAATAGTGTCAAATGCTTTTATGTTTCTTCTTTGCTTGCCAAATGCCAACTCTTTGATACAAAACCTAACGGAATTAATTGCTGACCTACAAATTCAGTTGAGTGTAAGGAAAAGTGGATATAATTGCCCAGTGGATATGCCACAATATGCTCACCTTGCTTGTGCTTAATGTCAAACTGTGTTAAGAATACTCAAGTATAGGCAAGTATTTGAAACTTGCACTCAATGAAGACGTGTTTCGGTTGTTCATCGGCTCACTGGAATGAAATAACTAAAGCAACTGTAAGTGATCCTAACTGGCTTGTCCCGTCCGTAATGTCCTTATTTCTGTTTAGTTAAGAAGAAACAGTTAGCTTTAATAGATTATTTTTTGCACACGTTGATTTCTAAGTAGGCCTTGTTGGTAGGATATATCTTCATTTTAAAGTTGATTTTTTCCCTCGAATGTTCAATATGATTATTGTCGAATTTGACAACTGGGTTTCAAATTGAAAGGGAATTTTTAGCTTGCTACTGTTGAAATGACTTGGCTTTTTTACAGTTTTTAATTCGGATAATTTTTTAGGGATTTCGCTAATGGCACCGTATGCTCGACTCTTAAACATTTTATTTTGGAATGGATAATACGGAAGTTGTAAATTACATAAACACACAAACGTTAAATATAAATGTTCGGATATAACATTGACCAAAATAAATAATTTGGATAAATTTATTAAAAATGATTGCTTTTCCTCATTTATTAACATTTCTACACTAGAAAGACTCCTTTTAGATAATTAACTTTATCTGTAAAATATATACTTAAATGAAACACACATCGACCAATATCAATTCCAATTAATTCTAAATAACTAAGACTGTGGCCTTATCTATATATAATTCTAATTACGAAAGTTATCACATGATGAATAATTAAATAGCAGGGTTCTTAATTTCCACATGGAATAATCGCAGCTTCTTCAATATATGCCAACACATGTTGTCATCTATTTCTAATTATTTCCATAATTTATTCTCTTCCACATTGCCAAGGATGTTACACCTACCACTACCAGATTATTACGACATAAATTCACTTGATCATATTCTCTCCTTCAGCTACAAAAATAACGAAAAATGCATCTCTACATTACAAGTCTCTCGTCAATTTTTTTTTTTTATAAATATTTTATCTTTACCTCTTAAAGTTGATCATCATTTTCTTTCTAAGCTGATAATTGTTTCGCAGCATGATTGCTGAAACTTGAAGATAAATGAACAGAATAACGCGTCTTGGTTAGCCCCTTCGTGTTTGTATAATAAGTCACTCTCTCTCTCTCTCTCTCTCTCTATATATATATATATAGGGTCATGAGTGGGCAAAAAGGAAAATGATGTAGCCATGAGCCCATGAGTTTCCCTATATACGTAAATAGGTTTGGAAAGGTTGGTATGATGAGGGACCAATAGGATATTGATTGAAGATGAAAAGTGCTCCATAAGTAGAAGGGTCTTGGATGATCAACTCAACATATAAACTTTTTTCTAAAACCTAACGTCAACTTTTGGATGGGATAATCACACATGAACTTTTATTCTATATATATTAATTAGTTTTGGAGGTAAATATGCTTTATACATACCAGAATATACCCACATATCAAAATCAGCATTGAAGGTGTAATCCATGTGAGCGCTTGATATTTGAAACTTGCACTCAATCAATTGATATCCCTTCAACGTGTTCGTCACCGCTCCATATGTATATATTACTTTGAGTTGTGATCTTTTAAGTCTGATACTTAAAGCTTGTTTCATCTTGCATTAGAATAACTTGAAGAAGGACAAAAAGAGGAAGAAGAAGAACCAACCATAAAAGAAGCTGACCAGGGAGAGGAATAATTAGAAGAAATGGGCAGGTTTGTGTGGGGATGTCTTGTGTTTTGTTTTGTTTTGTTCATGACTGTGCCTGGAGCCCTTTCCTGGAGCAAAGAGGGTCACATGATGACTTGCAGAATTGCACAGGTACCTTTTGAAATTGTTCGATATATATATATATATATATGAATCTCCAATGATTTTGGAAATTGAATTTAAGAAAATAGTATGCATTTATGGTTTAGAAATGTTTTCAGTTGTCAGTTATTAGGTTTTCTCCATTCCCTTAGACTATTTGTGCACTTCTTCTTCTTTTTTTTTAAAATTGCTTACTTCTTCTGGGCCATTTTTCTTTATATACATCCCCTCTCCACTCCTCTCCAATGGTACTGAATCTGAGTTATCCGTGCAATTCTTAATTAACAGCAGTTAGGGTGGTGCTGCAAAAAAAATAGTAAGATAAAAAAAAAAAATCCTATGCATAAACAATAGGCGATGATATTTTGAAAGGTGAACAAAATCACAATCAAACTCAGTACAGCGTAGCATGCTTTACAAATCCTAAATCCTAAATTGTATAAATTAGAGCTGTCCCACGTTCTGCACAGTTCATAAGTTCGCATAGCTTCATGTGACTAAACTATAGAAAGCATTACCATCTTACAACTACACTTGACCACGGCATAATGTAAGGCACTAGAGGGCATCCATATATTTGACCTAAATGACTATAATTTATTTGAGAGGTGTTAATTAAGTGGGTATTGAATGGGGGTGACAGTCACTGCTAGAGGCAGAGGCAGAAGAAGCAGTGAAGAATTTGTTGCCAGATTACGTGAAGGGAGACTTATCAGAACTGTGCGTATGGCCAGACCAGATCAGGCATTGGTACAAGTACAGGTGGACCAGCCCTCTTCACTTCATCGACACTCCTGACAATAAATGTTCTTTTGATTATTCCAGTATGTTCTTATTACTTTAATTAATCAACCCCAGTTCTTCTTCAGTAATTTGTACTACTCATAATCTCTCTTTAATTATCACACGCGCATGTACAGGGGATTGCCATGATTCCAATGATGTGCAGGACATGTGTGTTGCTGGCGCCGTCCAGAATTTCACTTCTCAGCTTCTGCACTATAAAGAAGGAACGGGTGATCGTCGAAGTATGCTTCTTCTATTTTCAACCTCCCTCTGTTGTTTGTTTCAATGAAAAATTTTCACTCTTCTTAGCCTTCTAATGGATTTGCTTCAATTCTAATGCTGCTCCCTTCTGCAGATAATATAACTGAGGCCTTGTTGTTCTTGTCTCACTTTATGGGCGATATTCATCAGGTTTCTGACTTGTTTCTCTTCGACTTCCAATTTTTGCTTAGCTTCTTGCCAATCTCTAAGCTACTGTTATAATGGGATTCTTTTTGCTGTTTCAGCCAATGCACGTTGGATTCACAAGTGACGAAGGAGGAAACACTATAGATCTCCGCTGGTTCAGGCACAAATCCAATCTCCACCATGTCAGTTTCATCTTTGTCATAGTTTTTTTTTTGTTCCAAAACAGAGGAACAATCAAAGAAGAAAATGTCAAGACCCTTATTTCTTGTGTACATTGGTCATCAGTTTATCTGATTTTTATCTGATAAAGGATCTGATAGCAACTTAGATTTTGCCGATTTTCAAGTTACTTCACGCGTCATGATTTCCCCCCCCCCCCTGGTGCGACTTCAGGTGTGGGACAAGGAGATCATTGCCACTGCTTTAAAAGACTATTATGAAAAAGATTTCAACCTCCTATTGGAAGACATAGAGGGGAACTACACAGATGTAAAGACTCACAATCTGTCAAACTCCAACAAATAGTTTCTTGATTTGATTTATCCCATAACCACTTCAAATTAACTTGTATGATGAATCGTTAACAGGGTATCTGGTCAGATGATGTTCAATCTTGGAGTCACTGCAAAGATCTCTCCAGCTGTGTCAATAGGTGAGCTTCCTCAACACATTGTCTCTCCCGGACAGATCTTAAATCTCCTCACAATTGTGTATTTAGTTATATGATGTGAGCTTGTGTTTGAATGGTCAGCTGGGCAAAAGAGAGTATACAAATAGCCTGCAAATGGGGTTACAAAGGGGTTGAATCTGGCATGACTCTAGCAGGTAAGACGTTTATTCAACAACGTCAGGTTTACACAAATATTACATTCACATCAGCAAAACCGCGAGAGATGCTTATGCATGTGTACATGTATTTTATATACAGATGATTACTTCAACTCGAGAATGCCTTTGGTGATGAAACGAATAGCTCAAGGTGGGATTCGATTGGCCATGATTCTGAACCAGGTGTTTGGAGACTCTAAGGAAGGTTTTGCAGCTGCAACTTAAGAACTCTAACGACACCACACATAGGGGGACTGCAAAAACTAGCTGTCTAACCTTATTTATAATTATGTCTTTAATTTCCTTGTCGGGAAAAGGTATGTTGTATTCATTCGCGGATAAGAAATTCATGAAAAGATCCAATTCATTTCGGTTGATCAAATAAGACCATTATTACCATAGGCAACAAAGTTGTTGCCACATTTTTATGTCTATTCTGTATAAAGAGATTAGTATTGTGTTATTAACCTTTGCCCAAGTTTCTGTTGACTATGAGAACGAGATATTTTCATGTTCTCATATTATCTGCGACAATACTCAACAAAACACTTGACCAAGGTAATACTTTATATCTGTCAAAACTCTAAAAGCTTAAATATAATCAGCACTACTACTTCCCATGAAATGCTTCTAAACTTAAAATAATGATGCAGTACCAGTTCATCAAGCGTTGATATTAATCTTGATTGATTAAGAGATGGAAGTAAAGATAAAACATCTAACTCTTGGCCACAGCACTCTGATAATTTGGCTAGAATACTAGATGGCTAAATTAAATCTCTTTATAACAGACCAAGAAAAATGATAATAAGAAAATTTTCAATCACCAAGCTCCGATCTTTCATTTTTCAGCTTTCAATTTGCTCTCCCTCTCGTTCCTGTGTTGTCTTGCTGTGATTATCAAAACCATTTAATGATCGACTGAAGTCAAAGGTTGAATTCCAACATTGTCTATTTCTAAAGCATTTACGGTACATAATTTATTCGCTTTCACATGGCCGGCCAACGATATGGATGTTCGTTTACACCTACCAAATTATTAATTAGGACATTAATTAACTATACTCTCTCCTTCGGACAATATTCTATTTCATTCTCATCAACATCAAAAATAACAAATAAGGCATCTCAACATCACAAGCTTTTAGTCAATTCTTTTTTCATATTTTATTTTTTTACTTATCACCATTTTCTTTCTAGGCGGCTAAATGCTTCCAAGCTGGATTACTGAATCTTGCCGATAATAATAATAAACAGAATAGGTTAGCATGCATCTTCATTTTTGTAAGTCACGAAATATATATAAACCTCCTCTAATCCTTTTTATAATACAATTCTAATATTATCATCGAAACAATGAAGAGAGGTTTAAAACTTGCTAGTTATATCTGAAAATAAAAAAGAAAAGCCAAACCTTACCTTCATTTAAACCCATATGATGTAACTTTGAAAAAAAAAATGGAACCAACATTAAATAAGAGTAATAACATGGAAAAGCAATATAATAAATATCTCACAGAGTTTCCTCAAGTTCCGGGGAGAGTATGTATATTAATGAATTTATTGGCTACTTATGTAAATAGGTTTTGAAACCTAAACGCGTCAACTTTTGTATGAGATAATTATTGCAAATGAACTTCTAGTCTGCTATATACGTATATTATATTTGGTTTTGGTGATACTTTCCCCCTCGTCAAAGTCAACATATTGAGTGGTAATACTTAATAACAATTAATACTTACAATTAATGAATTGAAAACCCTTCAATACATATTATATATTCTGAGTTATAAATTAGTCTTACACTAAAAGCCTGTTTCATCTTGCATTTGAATTTGTTGAAGAAGAAGGAGAAGACGTAAAAAGTTTATCTCAGTGAGAGAGGGGGGAAAAGAGAGAGAGATGAGCAGGGTTGTGTGGGGATCTCTTGTGTTGGTAGGGTTCATTTTGTTCATGACTGAGCCTGCCGCAGCTCTTGACAGGAGCAAAGAGGATCATGCGCTGACCTGCAGAATTGCACAGGTACGTACACTTCTCATGTGATGTTTTTAATTCCCTAATCAGTAATTACAAGTGATTGAAACTGTTTAAGGTATGTCTATATCTCCAATGATTTGGGAATTTGACTTGATGACTTCGAGGTCTTTCAAGTGGTATTTCATGGCATGCGAAAAAGTCTTTTTTCTCTAAAAAGGGAGTGGAAAAAGTAAAACTAGACTGTGTGTTTGATGTGCGCTGAAAATCAGTGATACAAATTTTAATCATTGTTAGGAAAATATGTTTTAAGAAAGCCTGTTGTATGATATGAGGATGGATAACTTATCTTCCCCTACAATAGTTGATAGATTTACTATTTCATTTACTACTGTATGAGTAGAAGTTTAAAAGAAGAGAACATCTTAAAAAACTAACAAATGGAGATGCATTGTTATAAGTTGCATCTTGGGAATCTCACTCCAAAAAAAGTGTGGTTTATTACAAGGTTAAACTTTATAGTAGTGTTTGGAGGAGGGTTTATTCAGGGGAAGGGAGAAAAAGAAGCAAGTGTATATGGGTAGAAAAAATGGAAGGAAAGAAAGGTAAAAATCTCTCTCTCTCTCTCTCTCTCATTCCAAGTCGAGATTTTTAATGGGGAGATAAATAATCTGTCACAGCCATACCTATTTTATCCATCTCGCTTAACACCTTTTTTTAATTTTTCTCTTCTGCCGTTTCTTCACGGTTCACGCGTTGTCGCCTTCCTCGTCCAGCAGCCGTCTCATCCACCTGCTCGTCCAGCCGCCACCTGCTCCGCCAAAGTCGATCGTGGCCGACGTGTGGACGTGTTTGGTCTCATGAACGTTAAGCTGGGGAAGCTGCCAAAGAACCTGTGTTCCCTGATTCAGGGTCTGGACCTGGAAGCCGCCGTGTGCCTCTGCGCCGCCTTTAAAGCCAACGTCTTAGGTATCGACCTTAACGTTGCCACTAAAGTGGACTTGTTTCTCAAGTACTGCGGAAAAGGAACTGTGCGAAAGAAAAAGGCGGCGTCCCCAAAAAGGCTTCATCGCGCTTAATTAGTTCAATGCCTCTATGAGTATCTCCACTTTTCTGCTGAGCTTTTTATTTTGATTTCTCTTTTCTTTCGGATTGCAGCGTTAATAAGTTCTTGATATATTGTAGTTCTCTGATGGTTGGAAGACTCCTCATCATTCCATTAGGTGACAATTAAATTGTATCAATAAAAAGTTTACATTTTTGCGATGATCTATGATTCCCCTGGAGGCTGGTTTTTGACTGATAAATTAATCAGCTGACCGCGAGAAACTTTATATATATATATATATATATATATATATAATATACAAGACCAATATATATAATATACAATGGACATTTTTGCATATCACTGTTGAATCATCGGGTCTTCCTCTTTCTGTTTCGCATGGCGCTGCATTGATAAGCATTTGATAAGGTTTCCGTTTGCATTATGCAATGGACATTTTCCTCTTATGCTTTCCTTCCATTGATGACCAATCTCTTCGTCAATCTCAAATTCTTTTAATACTATACACACGAAGCAAATATTTTGATTAGCCATAATCAGTTAATAAATTAGATTGAAATATGTTAATATTCTTCGTAATACTCAGAACCAATTAATAATGGTCGACTGAAGTTAAAGGCTGGATTTTAACATTATCTATTTCTAATCATTTACACAATTTATTCTCTTCCACATGGATAGCCAACGATGGATGTTACACACCTACCCAATTATTAGGACATTAGTTGACTTAATTACGGTACTATATTCTTTCCTTCGTACACAATGTTCTATTTCATTCTTATCAACATCAAAAAATAACAACTAAGGCACGCATCTAACCATCACAAGTCTCTCGTCAATTTTTTTCCCCATATTTTATAAATCCATATGCTATAATTTCGAAGAAAAATAATAAACATTAAATTAGAGTAACATGCAGAAAGATGCAATAAATATCTCACGTACGTAGTAGTCTTAATAATAAAAAGGATAAAGTAATATTTCTCCTTAAAGAACGGGAGAAAGTATGCATGTATGAATAGGATCATATTGATTGAAGAAGAGAGTATGGTATACAAGTATATGGATCTTGGATGATCGGCTCAACATGTAAATCTATTTTAAAACCTAACCTCAACTTCTGTACGAGATAATTATATTGCAAATGAACTTCTAGTCTACTACGAATATTATGTAGTTTTAGTACGTATCAGAATATGCCCCTCATCAAAGTCAACATTGCAAGGTAATACTAAACAATTAAAACTTGCGTTCAATCAACAATTGAGAAGACAATTTTCATAAGTTTATTAACCATGTGGCTTAAAAATTGAAATAATAATCATAAAATATATAAAATATCATTTAATTTGACTTTGCCTATATTTATAAAAAGGTTTGGATTGGATAGGTTCATGTGACGATGTAAACAGAGGGGATCTTGGATGAACATCTCAGCATATAATTATCTTGCAATGAACTTCGTGTCTACTGTATATTATTATTTAATTTTGGTGATGCCTTATACGCACCAGATCGAATATGCCCTTCATCAAAGCCAAAATTTGAGGGATGGTAATTAAACTATTAAAAGTCGCACTCAATCAATTGAGAACCCTTCTATATGTATACATATTCTAAGCTATGAAGTAGGACTCTGATACATAGAGCTTGGAAGAAGATATAGAAGTTTATCTCAGAGAGAGAGGGAATGATGGGCAGGTCTGTGTGGGGATCTCTTGTGTTGAGTTTTGTTTTGTTCATGACTGTGCCTGGAGCTCTTGCCATGATTCCAATGGTGTGCAGGACATGTGTGTTGCTGGCGCCTTCCAGAATTTCACTACTCAGCTTCTGAATTATAAAGAAGGCAGTGGTGATCGTCGACGTATGCTGCTCCTCTTTTCACACTCGCTTTCCCTTCTTTGTTTCAATGAAATATTTTGACTTTTATTGTTAATGGGTTGCTTCAATTCCGATGCTGCTTCGCTCTGCAGATAACATGACTGAGGCCTTGTTATTCTTGTCTCACTTCATGGGCGATATTCATCAGGTTTCTGGCTTGTTTCTCTTCGACTTCCAATTTTTGCTTAGCTTCTTGCCAATCTCTTAGCTTCTGTTATAATGGGATTCTTTTTGTTGTTTCAGCCAATGCGTGTTGGATTCACTAGTGACGAAGGAGGAAACACTGTAGATCTCCGCTGGTTCAGGCACAAATCCAATCTCCACCATGTAAGTTTCATCTTTATCATAGCTTTTTTTGTTCCAAAACAGAGGAACAATCAAAGAAGAAAAAGTCAAGACCCTTAACTCTTGAGTATATTGGTCCTCTGTTTATCTGGTAAAGGATCTGATAGCAACTTAGATTTTGCCGACTTTCAAGTTACTTCATGCGTCATGACTTCTTCTTTTTTACCCCTTGTTACTTCAGGTGTGGGACAAAGAGATCATTGCCACTGCTTTAAAAGATTATTATCAAAAAGATTTGAACCTCCTCTTGGAAGACATAGAGGGGAGCTACACAGATGTAAGGCACAATCTGTCAAACACCAACAAATAGTTTCTTGATTTGATTTATCCCATAATCACTTCGAATTAATTTGTATGATGAATTGTTAACAGGGTATCTGGTCAGATGATGTTCAATCTTGGAGTCACTGCGAAGATCTCTCTAGCTGTGTAAATAGGTGAGCTTCCTCAACACATTGTCTCTCCCAGACAGATTTTAAATCTCCTCAAATTATGTATTTATTTATATGATGTGAGCTTGTGTTTGCATGGTCAGCTGGGCAAAAGAGAGTATACAAATAGCTTGCAAATGGGGTTACAAAGGGGTTGAATCTGGTTTGACTCCAGCAGGTAAGACAATTCAACAATGTCAAGCTTACACAATCTTCATTCCATTCACATCAGCAAAACCGTGAGAGATGCTTATGCGTGTGTATGTGTAATTTATATACAGATGATTACTTCAACTCGAGAATGCCTTTGGTGATGAAGTGAATAGGGATTCGATTGGCCATGATTCTGAACCAGGTGTTTGGAGACTCTAAGGAAGGTTTTGCGGCTGCAACTTAAGAACTCTAACCACACCACAGGTAGGGGGGCTGCAAAAACTAACTGTCTAACCTAGTTTATACTTATGTCATTCCTTGTCGAAAAAGAGTGTGTTGTATTCATTCGTGTATAAGAAATTCATAAAAAGATGCAATTCATTGTAGTTGATCAAATAAAGCCAATTACCACAGGCAACAAAGTTGTTTCCAGATTCTGACATCTTTTCTGTATAAAGAGATTAATATGATGTTCTTATATAACCTTTGCCCAAATTTCTGTTGTGTAAGAGAATGAGATATTTTCATGTTCTTCTAATATTAGCTACAACAATCTGCAAGAAAACACTTGACCAGGTTAATCTTTTATATCTGTCAAAACTGAAAACCTCAAGTATAACCATTACTGCTTTCCCATGAAAGGATTTTGAACTTAAAATATAGATGAAGTAACTTAAAATATAGATGAAGTACCAATTCATCAAATGCTGATATTAATCTTAACAAAGAGATGGAAGCAAAGATGAAACCTCTATCTTCTTGGCCAAAGCACTCTGATAATTTGCCTGGAATAATAGATGGTTTAATTTAATCTCCTTTTAACAAAAAAAAATAAGAATAAGAACACGAAAATTTTCAATCAGAAAGCTCCAATCTTTCGTTTTCAGCTTTCACTTTGCTCTCCCTCTCGTCTGAATTTAATGATCGGCTGAATTCAATGGTTGAATTCCAGCATTATCTATTTCTAAGCATTTACATAATTTATTCTCTTTCACATGGCCAGCCAACTGTATGGATGTTTCGACCAAATTATTAATTAGGACATCAATTGAGCATGTTCCCCCCTTCGGAGAATACTCTTTCATTCTTGTCCACATCAAAAATGACAATAAGGCATCTCAACTTCACAAGTCTTTCGTCAATTCCTTTTTCATATTTTATTTTTTACTTCTCGAAGTTTATCACCACGTTCTTTCCAGGCGGCTAAATGCTTCCAAGCTGAATTACTGGATGATGATGATGATAAAAAGAATAACGCGTTTTTGGTTAGCGTGCGTCTTCATTTTTGTAAGTCACGAAATACTCTCTCCGATCCATAATACAAAACCTCATTTAATTTTTATTTTAATTCTAAATATAAGACTTCAATCTATTTTGTCTCTCATATTTATATTTTTTTTTAAAAAAATCTTTTTAATAATGATAGTTCTAGTCAGTACACTTGATTAGTAAGAATATTTCAGGAAAGACAATATATATTCATTACAAATAACTAATTTAACTTATTTTCTTAATCTCCTCAAATTAATCAACTAGTTCTTATAATTAGAACCAGAAGTAGCATATATAAACCCTCCTCTAATCTTTTTTATCAGACGATTCTGATATTATCATCGAAACAATAAGAGGCTTAAAACTCACTAGTTATAGCTGAAAATTAAAAAGAAAAGCCAAACCTTATCATCATTTAAACGCACATGATGTAACTTTCAAAAATGAACCGACATTAAATGAGAGTAATCACATGGGAAAAAAAGGATAATAAATATCTCACACGGTGTCCTCAGGGACCGGAAAGAGTACGTCTATAAATGAATTTTATTGGCTACCTATGTAGATAGGTCTTGAAACCTAAACGTCAACTTTTGTATACAAGATAATAATATCGCAAATGAACTTCTAGTCTGCTATATATGTATATTATATTTAGTTTTGGTGTATTTAGCCTTGCAAGTGGTGCTTACTGATTCACACCAGAATTCACGCGCCCCGTGCTTCCCCCTCGTCAGCGAATTGGAAACCCTTCAACATGTAGTATTATATGTTCTCTGAGCTATAAATTAGTCTTATACTAAAAGCTTGTTTTATCTTGCATTTGATGAATTTGTTGAAGAAGAAGAAGAAGAGATAAAAAGTTTGTCTAAGCTGAGAGAGGTGGGGAGAGAGAGAGAGAGATGGGCAGGTTTGTGTGGGGATCTCTTGCGTTGGTAGGGTTTATTTTGTTCATGACTGTGCCTGCAGCTCTTGGCCGGATCAAAGAGGATCGTGCGCTGACCTGCAGAATTGCAAAGGTACGTACACCTCTGATATAATGCTTTTCCTCAATAAATTGATTAAGTCTTAAAATCAGTAATTACAAGCGATTGAAACCGTTCAGGTAATGTCTATATCTCCAGTGATTTGGGAAATTGACTTGGCGGCTTCTAGGTCTTTTAAGTGGTATTTCATATTTGGCATGCGAAAAAGATCTTTTTCCTCTGAAAAGGGAGTGAAAAAGGTAAATTAGACTTGTGACTTTGATGTGCGCTGAAATCAGTGATACAAATTTTAATCATAGTTAGCAAAATATGTTTTAGGAAAGCCTATTGTATGATATGAGGATGGATAACTTATCTTATCCTACAATAGTTGACAGATTTACTATTTCATTTACTACTATGTGAGTAGAAGTTTAAAAGAAGAGCACATCTTAAAAAACTGACAAATGGAGATGCATTGTTATAAGTTGTATCCTGGGAATCTCACTCAAAAAAAAAAAAATGTGGTTTATTATGAGGTTAAAGTAGTGTTTGGAGGAGGGTTTATTCAGGGGAGGGGAGAAAGAGAAGCAAGTGTATATGGTTAGAAAAAATGGAAGGAAAGAAAGGTAAAAATCTGTCTCTCTCTCTCTCTCTCATTCCAAGTCGAGATTTTTAACGGGGAGATAAATAATCTGTCGCAGCCATACCTATTTTATCCATCTCGCTTAAAACCTTCTTTTAATTTTTCTCTTCTGCCGTTTCTTAACGGTTCATGCGTTGTCGCCTTCCTCCTCCAGCCGCCGTCTCATCCACCTGCTCGTCCAGCCGCCACCTCCGCCACCTGCTCCGCCAAAGCCGATCGTGGCCGACGTGTGGACTTGTTTGGTCTCATGAACGTTAAGCTGGGGAAGCTACCAAAGAACCTGTGTTCCCTGATTCAGGGTCTGGACCTGGAAGCCGCCGTGTGCCTCTGCGCCGCCTTTAAAGCCAACGTCTTAGGTATCGACCTTAACGTTGCCACTAAAGTGGACTTGTTTCTCAAGTACTGTGGAAAAGGAACTGTGCAAAAGAAAAAGGCAGCGTCCCCAAAAAGGCTTCATCGCGCTTAATTGAGTTATTCTTGAGATTTCTCTTTTCTTTCGGATTGCAGCGTTAATAAGTTCTTGATATATTGTAGTTCTCTGATGGTTGGAAGACTCCTCATCATTCCATTAGGTGACAATTAAATTGTATCAATAAAAAGTTTACATTTTTGCGATGATCTATGATTCCCCTGGAGGCTGGTTTTTGACTGATAAATTAATCAGCTGACCCCGAGAAACTATATATATATATATACACACACACACACACTACCTCCTGTCCTTGATATAAAACCTTGTTTGACTTTTATTTTGACCCTAAATATAAGACTTCAATCCACTTTGTCTCTCATATTTACTTAATTTTTTTCAAGATAATCCTTCTAATAATTATAGTTCTAGTTAATACACTTGATTAGCAAGGATATTTTAGGAAAGATAACACTATTTAGAATAAATAACTAACTCAACTTACTTTCCTAATCTCCTCAAATTAGTCAACTGACTCTTATAATTAGGATCCAAGGCAGTATAATACAAGACCAAGGTTCTAAATTGCATATCACTGTTAAATCATCCGGTCTTCCTCTCTCTGTTTCGCATGGCGCTGCATTGATAAGCATGTGATCAAGTTTACTTTTGCATTATGCAATGGACATTTTCCTTTTATGTTTTCCTTCCGTTGACCAATGTCTTCGTCAATCTCAAATTCTTTTAATACTGCACACACATGAAGCAAATATTTTGATTAGCCATAATCAATTAACAAATTAGATTGAAATAAGTTAATATTCTTTGTAATAATCAAAACCATTTAATAATGGTCGACTGAAGTTAAAGGTTGGGTTTTAACATTATCTCTAATCATTTACATAATTTATTCTCTTTCACATATGGATGTTACACACCTACTAAATTATTAGGACATTAATTGTCTTAATTAATTACGGTACTATATTCTTTCCTTCGCACAATATTCTATTTCATTCTTATCAACATCAAAAATAACAACCAAGGCACGCATCTCACTATCACAAGTCACTCGTCAATTTTTTTTCATATTTTATAAACCCATATGCTATAATTTCGAAGCAAAATAATCAACATTAAACAAGAGTAACGTGCAGAAAGATGTAACAAATATCTCACGTCCGTAGTAGTCTTAATAATAAAAAGGATAAAATAATGTTTCTCCTTGAGAACGGGAGAAAGTATGTATAAATATGATCATATTGATTGAAGAAGAGAAGTGTGGCATATAAGCATATGGATATAGGATGATCAGCTCAACATGTAAATCTATTTTAAAACCTAACCTCAACTTCTGTACGAGATAATTATATTGCAAATGAACTTCTAGTCTGCTACGTATATTATTTTGTTTTAGTACGTATCAGAATATGCCTCTCATCAAAAGTCAACAATGAGGGGTAATACTTAAAAAATTCAAACTTTCATTCAATCAATAATTGAGAAAATAATTTTTCCTCAATAAATTAATTAACCATGTGGCTTAAAAATTAATATAATCATAATATATATAATATGATTTAATCATCAGTTTCCCCATATAAATACTTTTGGATCGGATAGTTTCATATGATGATGGATCAGTAAGTTAAACAAAGGGAATCTTGGATGAACATCTCAACACATAATTATATTGCACATGAATTTCGTGTCTACTATATATATTATTTAGTTTTGCTGATGCCTTATACGTACCAGATCGAATATGCCCTTCATCAAAGTCAACATTTGAGGGATAGTACTTAAACAATTAAAACTTGCACTCAATCAAAACCGTTCAATATGTATATATATTCTTAGCTATGAATTAGGACTCC